GCTAGAGGTTGTAGCTAATAAACATAGCTGGACTGAATTTGCATGGTCTCTTGGAGTTCCTTGGGCTAGGCCTGACAAATAATCTCTCCTTGGGGCTTGGTCTGTTGTATCCCAACAGTTACAAAGATGACCCCTGGTTATGGGACCTGAAATGGGACCTCCAAAAATTTAAGCAAAAGAAAACGAAATCAAGTGGGAAGAAAAAGGAAGATGTGAACGAAGAGCCACCCGAAGCAGTGGAAAAAGCCTCTCCGCTGGAGTGGCAGGAAGGTAAATGACCATTTATTGATCAGATGGGGGGAGAGAGTAGATTTCCCCCCATTTGTGTAGTTGTGTGTTTGATCTCTCTTCATGGCCAGTTCAAGGTTGTAGGCAGTCCTTGGCCCAGAGTTAACTTTCTGACCACCTTTAGGTTCCTGCACACTGCACTCACTGGCTGGGATCACACACTGTGTTCAGTTGAAATAGTGTGTGTATGTGTTTTGCTTTGGCATAGTACGCTGGTGTAGCCCAACCATTGTGGTTTGCACACCATTCTTAAGGATGAATGCAGTGCATGAGCCCCACCAGTGGTAGGGTGATTCTGCAGAACAGGGTTTAACAAACTTTGCTTTAGTATAATAGGTGAACCAGTTTCACCTTAACCATACTGTAATTCTCCTTGCACTGGGAAGTCTTTGAAATTTGCTTTCTGGATGAAAGCTACCAAGGACACAGATCTCCATATACATTCCCACACACTCATTTAGGATGAGCAACATTATGCAAAGTGCAGAAAAAAATAAGATATAGTAAGCAAAAGAAAGTAAAAGGCAGGAAGTAAGAGAAAAGAAATCTAGCTAAACCTAGGTTATATCAACAGTATTAACTCTACCTTCCTATCCTTGATTCTTTGATTTTGCTTGCATCCATTCATACGTTGCATTTTTTTTTTGCTTCTTTGTTTAAACTTCTCACCTTCCTCTTGTTGGGAATCTCATCAACCCCAGCCTCAACTTCTTTGGTCACCCCCTTCCTTTCAACCCATTTGCTGTTAAATTGGTCTATAAGCTTTGCAAGACACAGAATTATTGGGCAAGATAGATTCTGAGGCTCCTCGAGATCAGATAAGATATGGTTAAGACGATTTGTGTGCTGCTTGAACATTTTTGTGTGTTGCATTGTTATATTGTGAAAACAGATCCTGGTCCTCCGACCGAAGAAGAAGAACAAAGCCTTCCTGCCAGCCAACTGGCTCTTCAAAGTCTAAAGGAGACTGTGGTTTTGCAGCCAAAGAGAATTCAGCACCTCCCTGGTCATCCAGAGTAAGTTGCTAAAGAAATGTTTCGGGTGGGTGGGATGGATGGATGGATGGATGGATGGATGGATGGATGGATGGATGGATGGATGGATGGATGGATGGATGGATGGATAGATAGATAGATAGATAGGATCACCTGAAACAGCTTTCCCCAACTTGGTTCTTTCCAGCTGTGATGGATTTCTGCTGCCCTAATGCCCAACCAGCACAGCTGGGTCTTTCCTTGCCCTTCTCTTCCTAGATCTCATAGAAATGGTGTTCATCTAAGTCAATAAATAGCAGTCCCAGAAGAAAAATATGGGCAAATAGGTTTGTAAGTGGTCTTCATTATCCAGCTGGTGGTTGAATGTCAAAGTTGTTTGCTTCCTCCTATGTAGGTGGTATCGCAACCTGTGTCCACGGCTCAATGATCCTAGTTGGGCCCCAGGACCCAACCTTGTCAGCCTTCAAATGAGAGTGACTCCAAAGCTCATGAGGCTCACTTGGGATGGCTTTCCATTGCACTACTCTGAGAAACATGGCTGGGGCTATCTTGTGCCAGGAAGGAAGGACAACCTGTTAGAGGATGATCCAGATGCTGCATTGCCCACCTGCCCCTTCAAGTAAGAAGGGATTTCTGGGGAAGTGAAATCCACAGAACTACCCCCCGCATGTTGTGAAACAGAAGCATAACATTTAATACAGTGCCATCAGTGTATTTGTGTTTACATCTCACACAAAGAGTTTATAATTACAGTCTAAGCTGGAGAACAGCAGAACAGCAAAGGTGGTTTGGGAAATGTGGTAAAGCATGAAACTGAGCAAGTGGCATTGCAGTGGTGGTTCTGTGACACCTACTTTCCCTTTCACAACCAGATAGATGAACATAATGGGGTGAGGATCTGGCACAGCAAAGGAAGATCTACCAGCAGGAGAGAACGAAGTTTATTTTGTGTGGCTTGCAGGCCCAGCCTCTGGTGTCTTTTAACCAAAGCAGTTAAAATCAGGTTCCAGATGCAATCAAAAGATCATGCCACTGCTCAGATTTTCAGTGTGAACCCAGAAGAAGGCTTGTTTTCCCCTCTGGCTGTTTCTTGGGGAATTTATTTGGAGTCTTGACTAGAAGGTAGTTAACCTTCAACTCCCCAGTGAATTATCCTGAGATAACATTGATCAGGATTGGAGAAAGGTCTCATTGGCCAGAAGCCCATGTGCGACTGAGACAGCTAATTGTGTCTTGTCTTTCTGCAAGCGTTGCAGGGACATGCAAAACCAACTAATTTCATCTTAAATCCTCTAGGTCATCCAGGTGATTGCTGTGGTGTTGTATTAATGACAAGCAATGGGCATTACAACCAAATTCTGTTCAGTATGTCAAGGCCCTTGTAACATGTCTACAAAACCAGTGAATTTAATTACATGCTACTTCAGTATAGTTACAATATTATGCCATTATTGTCTTTGCTTTTTATTTGTCAGGCTTCATGTTGCTGGGTTTTGACGCTAATAAAAACTTCATTCATTCTAGTTTGCAAGAACTGTAAAAATGAGAAAATGCATTGGCAAGCTTTATATTGTTATCAGGTGCTATGGAAGTGCCAGATACAGATGGTTCTTGAAGGAAAACCCTATTCTTTCATGTACATGATCAGGTCTAATGTGTCTGTTCTCTATAAAGGTGATTCAATAATAAGAATCAAGAAAGAGAATTGTACATTTCACTAGGCGAGGCATGATTATAATTCTGCTGCAGTTCAGTGCTTGAAAACTCTTATTTTTGATAGGGTTATAGAACATCTGTATCGGGAACATTGCAGGGAGAAAGGCAAGGAGCAACCAGTCTCCCTCGACAGCTACCTGGAAGAAGAGTTCTTAACGGAAAACGGTGATTTTTGGGAAAAGGTACTAGTTATCCTCTCCAAGCTGAGATACACAGTTTTGTGATAGTATGCGCTGGATTGCACCATGTCAGATATCAGGTAGAAGAAGTCTTATTGGATTGTTTACATACATACATACATATGAATTTTTTTTATTAAGAATTTTGATTATAATAGTAAAATCTGATACAAACTAAACTTAAGAGAATTGAGAGAAAGAGTAAAAATACAAAGAAAAAGAAAGAAAAAAGAATATAATAAAGAGAAAAGAAATATATAAAGAAGTGACTTTCAACCTTCATCAAGTATAAACAAATTTAGTAACACTTTACCCTCTCTAAAGTTAAAAACATATATCCCTTCATCCCATACTCCATCTCTTATCTATAAACAAATCTATAAAACATCCTCTTTTCAGCCCTGGTACCAGCAGAAAGTCCATACAGGGTAGTCAGTTAAAACAACATACGTGTTTTAACCTTGATCAAATAAACCAACTTTATATTCCTTCCTTTTACTTCTAACAGTCTTAATGTTTAGTTTGTTCAAACATTGTCATAGGATTTGATTTCTCTTCACCCCATCGCACAGAGTTCTTCAAGGCTTTAACAAGCCTCTTTTGTAAATCCAGTAGGAAAAAATAATCCAGGTCACTCTCTTGGTTTATCATTTGTGTTTCCGTTTTATGTTTTAAAGCCTCAGTCAGTTTGTTTTGTAGATCCAGTGAAGCATCCTTATCTAAATCATTCTCTTGGCCTGCCAGTTATAAATCTACTTTCAATACCATCTCTATATTGCCAGATAAAATTTGTTCTGCATCTGACATTTCTTCAATAACATCTTTTGGACATAGTCTGTCCATAGAAGGAGACATCATTACTGAAATTGTAGATATTGTGGCTACTATTTTCTGATTCCATTCTTCAAAAGTCTCCTTCAATATTTTTATTGTCATATCATTTTATATCATCTGATAGGGCTATATATCTTTCCTCTACCGAAAATCTTTAGTCCCCTCTAAAGTTCCAGTTTTTGAAATCACAAAATTCCTTATCTGTGTTACGTCTTATAAAAACCAAAACAGGATCTATTTCCCATGAGAAACTGTTTGTACTTTATAATTAATTCCAAAATCTTATTGTAAAAGTTTCAATATTCCAATTTTACCTGGACCCCTAGTCTGTTTATCTTTCTAAGATCAAAGTCTTATTTACAAAATTCCTTATCTGTGTTACGTCTTATAAAAACCAAAACAGGATCTATTTCCCATGAGAAACTGTTTGTACTTTATAATTAATTCCAAAATCTTATTGTAAAAGTTTCAATATTCCAATTTTACCTGGACCCCTAGTCTGTTTATCTTTCTAAGATCAAAGTCTTATTTAGCTTTTTGCTGTTTGTTTCAGATTCTTTAAATTCTTAGGCTTATGATTAAATTTTTCATTAGTTCAGGATTGAAGGCAGACTCCCCCGGCATTTTCAAGGTTGTTGTTCCAAAGGGCTCTACTAGCGTAGAAGTAGTTAATGAGCAATTTCCAGGCTAGAAAGCAGGAGACGGTGAGTTCTAGTCCTACTTTAGTTAGGAAAGCCAGCTGGATGACTTTGGGCCAGTCATTTTCTCTCAGCCCAACACCTCACAGGGTGGTGGTTGTGGGGAAAATAGGAGGAAGGAGTATTAGGTACGTTCGCCACCTTGAGTTACTTATAAAAATAATAAAGGCGGGATAAAAAAAGAATTAAAAACTTTCCAAAAGTGATTAGAAAGTGAGGTTTGTGAACTTAGTGTCCTTTAAAAGTCTCTGTCATGGTTGTGAGCAAGATGGCTAATCCTGTCATCTCCTGGCACTCAAACCCGTGGAAAACTCTTGTCCTGCAGTCTCCGCACGAGGAGCAGCCATCCAGAACACACATGGACAATCTCCTGTCCTCTCCTTATCTGGAGAGGTTCCAAGGAACTGGTCTAGTCATCAGTTCCTTGGTCTTTGCTGTGGTCATCAGTTCTACTTTCGGAGAGCCATCTTCAGTTTGCTGTACCTCCCCCAGAAGCTTCAGGATTTCTTAGTGGATTGTGCTTTTCAGAGAAAAAACAACCATGCCCTGATTATAGAAAACGTGCATGTCAGGTTGGGTAAAATATTTGTTGGTTTTCTATATGCAGAGGGATCTTTTTTTTTAGATTTTGGTAAATGATCCTTTTGGTCAGATGTGAACTTGGAAGATAAGTGATGCTGCGAACAAATATAGGAGAAGAACAAGCTTCACATGTTAAAGGATTTTTTTTTTTTCATGTCAGCTTGAGTTGCTTGGCCATGTGGAGGTGGATACGGACGTGGATCCTGTAACCAGAGAACTGAGGCAGGTAATGGCCTATCTAAAGAAAGAAACTAATCATCACTTAATCATGTATCAGGCATGCTTGCGGGTCTGGGGTTTGGGTGGTAGATGGCCACGGTTTGAGTGAAAATTCAAAGCTGGATTTTCTCTGGGCTTGGCTAGTCCTGTAGGATGGGAGTAGGCTGTCTGTTTTATACTGAGAATTGTGTTCCTCTCAGACAACCCATTGAAGCCTGAGGCTACCTCTCAACAGTCGTCCCTTTGTTCTGCTCTCTGGGTTTAAGTCCAGCTAATTTTTATTGATTGATTGATTCTAATTTATGTAGCCACCCATCTCACAGATATGACTCTGGGTGGTTACAAATGCTTGATCCTGCGTTGGTTCTCCTGGACAGGAGGAGATAGAACTGGCGAAGAGTTCTCCTGAATACCACCACGGCAACGGACCTTACAATGATGTCAATATACCTGGATGCTGGTTTTTTAAGCTACCTCACAAAGTAAGGATGGACTTTGTGGGGCCTGTTTTTGTGTATGAGAGGGCAGGCCTGCGGTTCACTGAAGGCGAAGAGGAGAGCAAGCATGCCAACACAGGGAATGAGAAGATCACTTGTAATATCAAGAGGATGTGACATCCCCTATAGTCATCGCACACATGCCCCCAGCATTTGTCAGGGAAGCTAGTGACAATGTACATGCAACATCATTGTACGTGTGTTGCCATTTTGACACCCCTGCAGTTGGTAGCAGGCTCATTGCACCCCATCTCCCTTTCACTTGAGTGCACACTGTTTTTCATTTAGAAAATTTTCGTATCCTTGTTGGGTTGGGGGGGGGCATACAGCTGTGGTGCTCTTGATCTACCCAAACGTACATCTGTGCCATTGATGAGTTTTGGCCGGAAGATTTCTTACTAAGGCATCAATTAAATATCTTTTCTCCCAATTGGAGGGACAAAGGAAGGGAATGTAAATAAGAGGCACCAGAGTTTAAATTTGTTTTGCTGGCATTGCTTGTTATTGTGAAGCCTGGCTTATTCCCAGTTGTGGGGAGTGCAGTTGAGGATTGTTAATTAGGCATGGAAAAATGTTCTGCACGTGCAGAAAAAACCTAGGAATAGCTCTTAGGGATAAAATGGGTCATAGTTCAGCAATTCAGATCATGATTGGTCTGGAATAATCTCTGACACTCCCAGCTGAAAAAGGGATCGTAATTGAGAAAGACCTCCTCTCTGTGTTTGGATGTGAGGAGAAGTCTCCCGTCAGGAAGAAGCGTTGCATTTTGCTTGCAGAATCTGTTTTGTCGCTGGTCTCTTGAGCCAAAATAACCTTTCTTCCCTGCTCTTAAAAGGATGGCAGCGCCAACAATGTTGGAAGCCCATTTGCCAAGGATTTCTTACCCAAGATGGAAGATGGTACCCTAAAAGCTGGAATAGGAGCAGCAGATGGGACGCACGCTCTGGAAATCAACAAGAAAATCTCCTTCTGGAGAAATGCCCATAAACGCATCAGGTGAGCAGAGGAACCTCAGATTCAGTTATCTGTTTGCCTCGATGCCAGCTAACCCTAGTGTGATTGCTCGTCCTTTCTTCTTCTCCTTTTCCCCCTTCTCCTTTACTTTCCTTCTGCACAGCAAGAATTTGAACTCTAGACTCCAAATGTAGCCAGGTGTCCTCCTCCTGTTGTGAACTTGTGTAGGTTGCATAAACCAGTTCCAAGCTCTGTATTCAGCAGTGGAGGAATGTTGAATACGAAGAGAGGAACCAAGCTGGGGCAGCTGGAATGAGTTCCCTGTATTTGATGAACATTAGGCTTTGTGGGTGAATGCTGATAGTCCCAGATGGAGTTTGTACATGAGTTTCAACATCAAAAGAAGCTACCTTGCTTCGGATAGATGACTGATTTTGCCTTTAGAATATTCAGAGTGTTCATCTGTAAATCATGCAGCAGATGGTTTAATGAATTAATTTAATTTAGCAGACTACAGTGGTTTAATTCTAATAAGCTATCAGGGTATGATGCCCAGCACTGTCTAGTAGACTTCATAGTGAAATAGTGATTTGAACCCAGGCCTCTCTGATCCCAGGTCCATTCTACATTCCCTTGGTTTTGGATATTGAAAAAGGAATCGCGAATGCTTTTTTTCTGTGAAGGAGAAAGCTCTCCTTTTGTGGGCTGACAAAATGTCAAAAGCCTCGCCTTGACTGATGCTTATTGACTGTTATGATCAACTTGCCGTAGGGTTCAGATAGGCTAAGACCTGAGAAACGTGAGCTTGAGGGACTAGCAACTGTTGCTAACGTTTGCCACAGTTTTTCTACTTTCTTCCAAATTTGTTGGCAGGTTTACAGAGTTCAGAGGAGTGGGATGTTCTGTCCCTTGTACAGTGGTATAGAAAAGATGGTCCAGGTCTCCTCAATTTGGGGTGAGGTACCATCCAACAAGGTGATGTCCTCTTGTTGCCTAGAAGGGCAGGAACTGTATCATGAACATGTTAAGTTACAATAATTGATGTTCACATTGGGGGGGGTTTCTTGATTCTAGGTATGGGAGGAAAGACTTGGTCCATATTAGCAACCTGGGGATATGTGGAGGTCTAAATAAACTGGGGCTGCTTTAGCAAAGTTCTTCCTTTCTGGGTGTCGGGTTGAAGAACCAGAATATGCTCAGACAGGGAGACATGGGTTGATGAAAAACATTAAGTAACATTTTTGTGCTTTCTAAATCTAGTTTTCTGGCTCCTTCATCTGACAATTCATTTCTTTCTCCTTGCAGTTCACAGATAGTGGTGTGGCTGAAGAAAGGAGAACTGCCACGATCTGTGACTAGGTACATATAAAGAAATGTGGTCAAAATCAATATGCTTTATTTACACATCTCTTTTTTTAGCCAAAATTAGCAACCTCAGCTAAAACCCATGTAAAGGTATGCGTTTGGGGATAGGTTAGTTTTCAAATAACTATCACTTTTGGCTTGGATATTTACTTGTATTCTCAGTTTTAAGCTCTTCTCTCTAAGAGGGAATAGAAAATAATCATGATGATATAAATAAATAAAATAATCATGAGCTCACAGAATTAGCTTTTTAAATGGATTTACTGTTGCATCTTCTCCTAGGGGAAAGATCCATAGTTCTGTGGCTCCCTTGATGTTTTGTACATGGACGGTCTTGGGACTATCCAACTGGGGCCTCAGAACCTGGTTGGAGTTTACTCTTTCTAAAACAGAGCACTTTTTTATGCTATTGGGCAACAAAAACTTCAAGAGAATGGCCGTCTTAATTCACACACTGTTAACAAGTAAAGAAGATGGCACTGCCTTTGTTTTCTGGCTACTGTTGATTACTGTGTTGTGTTTTAGTTTTGATCTCTAAATATAGCAAATTTTTAACAGCTTATCATAAGGATGTAGTTATAGAGAGGAGCATCTAGTTTCCAAAATGCCAGTGTGCTACTCTGTCACCATCACAGTCACTGGGCTCTTATAAGTGATGGAAGAAAGGTGGCTTGTCAGCTTAGCAGTTCACCCATTTAGTAACTGCTCGGATTTTCTGATGAATAGTAATGAACAGTAAAATGTACACCATGGATACTGAAAGTGGGGAACAGGGAAGACTAGAAATTTGGGGGTTTGTGTGTGTCTGTGTGGAATTGAGGGAACAAGGGGATTTTTGTAGCTGTGGCAGCTTGGGGGAGGGCACTGTGCTCCTGTGGGTCAGCTGGAGGAGGAACAAGTGATTGGTTCATGGGACCTCTGCAACTTACTGTGATGTCAAGGTCAACAGAAGGGGAAATGATTGCAGATCAGCTTTTAACTACTTTGGGGTTGTAAACAGCAATGTGGAATCTACTTCATCATCTGCAGAGCCAATGATGGTGGCCTGCTTTGGTTTGAAATGGGCTTCTCACTGTGACCTTTTCTAGGCATCGAGACTATGATGAAGAGAATGATTATGGAGCCATCCTGCCACAGGTAGTGACGGCTGGAACAGTAACTCGACGAGCTGTTGAGCCCACTTGGCTGACAGCCAGCAATGCCAGGGTAAGACTGTCTTTTCAGATGCTTTTTATTAAACTTTTGCCCATCCCTGTTAGATATTCCTACAGTGGAGTTGAATACGAAGTAGGATGAAAACAGGTAATTGCAAGCAATGTTTCCACAATCCTAAGAGGACAGCAAACGTTTGAGATCCCTCCAAATGTGCAACAGGAACCTATTAGTGTTGCTTCAGACATGGGAGAAGGAGTGATTTCTTCTCTAAGCTATAAAGTTTGGGTTCAAGGCTGATTGCTCAGGCTGCTTTACCCTCCTATATGGCAGGTCTAGTCTTAGGTCATGTGGAAGAGTAGAATAAATTTGTTTTTTGTGCCATACACAATGCAAAATACAAGTGATCTATGCACATGTAGACCTGATAAAACAGCTGACTGATTGTCCATCTTGCAGGACAAGTCTTTCAGTTGAGCAAAATGATGGATAGAAAGGCACTGTCTTTTAATCCAAGCCCATGGACTGACTGAGGCTCCCTGAGAACCAAAATCATCTCATTTCTTGCAGACTGACCGGGTGGGCAGTGAGCTGAAAGCTATCATCCAAGCCCCTCCTGGCTACCATCTGGTTGGAGCTGATGTTGATTCCCAAGAACTTTGGATAGCGGCTGTCTTAGGAGAAGCCCATTTTGCTGGCATGCATGGTGAGTGCCATTATACCCAGAGGTTTTCTTCAGAGCATTTGGTAGTCAAAAGATTGTGTCTGTGACATGAACATTCTATGTGCTCTCTCTGTTAACAGCTCTTGATAGGTCAAATCACTATACCTTTGTTCTCTCTACTTTTGAAGGCCTCTTGTGTTCAGAAGCTGAATTTTGAAACCTATTTTAGTTAAGTAGATGAAAGAACTTCAGTGAGATTTCTGATTTGCTTAAAGCGAAGAGAGGAGAAAGGGCCAACACATAACGTTAGAAAACAGACTATCATTAGGCTAGCATCTAGGACTTCAGCTGACAATTTTTTCAAGCAAATGTTGCAGCCCTAAACACTGGAAATATCCTTATTTTTCGGTGTGAAATCTGGTTCTTGGCTCAATTTTGCATCCATGCCAACTGTTCTCCTTTTGATCCACTCTGCTCTGCCTTCTTTTATCAAGGCCACATTGAGGCTACCTTTCCCTTCCCGGCCCCCTTTACCCATTTTAAGGTTGCACCGCTTTTGGCTGGATGACCCTTCAAGGGAAGAAAAGCAACGGCACAGACTTGCACAGCAAGACAGCCTCCACCGTGGGGATCAGCCGAGAGCATGCCAAGGTGTTCAACTATGGGCGCATCTATGGTGCAGGACAGGCATTTGCTGAGCGTCTCCTCATGCAGTTCAACCACCGCCTGACAGAACAGGAGGCCAGTGAGAAGGCTCGGAAAATGTATGCTGTCACGAAGGGAATCCGGCGGTAAGGCTGCCTTGGTGAAGGAGAATCTCTGTTTTATTGAGTGATTGGTTGATTTGATTTGATTTGATTTGATTTGATTTGATTTGATTTGATTTGATTTGATTTGATTTGATTTGATTTGATTTGATTTGATTTGATTTGATTTGATTTGATTTGATTTGATTTGATTTGATTTGATTTGATTTGATTTGATTTGATTTGATTTGATTTGATTTGATTTGATTTGATTTGATTTGATTTGATTTGATTTGATTTGATTTGATTTATGGGCTGCTCCAATCCATGTGACTGAGCGGCTTACAAAATGCAGCAATAAAAATACAGAATATAGCTTCCAAAAGAGAATCCAGAGAAAATCCACCATCATGTAAACATCCCACAGCCATTTTAGCCCAGGGCCTAAGGACAGAGACAGGTCTTAGGGCTTGCTTAAACAGGGCCAGGATGGGGCTGTAAATCTTGGGAGGGTTGGCGTTCCAAAGGAGAGGTGGCATGACAAAGAAAGCCCATTCCTGGGTCTCACCAGGTGACATTATTTATTCTGTCTGACCATGTGGGACAGGCAGAAACTACAGGAAATAGCTAGTCCCGCAAATAACCAGGCCCTGTGCCATGAAGGGCTTTATAAGTGATAGCCAGCATTTCAATTTTAACTAATTCAGAACTGTCACATTGTGGGAACTGAGGCCACAACCTGTACTTCATTTTATAAACTTTTGGTCAAAGAAATAAACACCCTGGTATATTTGCAAACTTCTGATTTAAAAACTTGAACATTCACAGGCCAGTTGCAGGAATAATTTTCTTTTTGATAGCCTGTGCCTGCTAGGGTATGTGTTATTTGCTAATCCTGTTAGATCCTCCAGGAGTTCAGCAAACTAGGTCTTAGTCTTAGTAGGGGTGAGAGAGAGTGACTGGTTTAAAGTCCCTGAATAAGCTTCATGTGCTGCATGAAAAGGTCTCTAGTTTAGTACAGGTAGTCCTTGTTTAGCAACTGCCTCGGACAGTGACTGTTTGCAGTTATGACGGTGATGAAATAGTAACTTTATGACCAATGCCCGCATTTACGACCTTTGCAGCATCTCTTTCTGAGTCACTTGTTCACCATTATAGTTAGTTAGTAGTACATTGTCCTGTGCCTGAACCATTTTTTTCTTTCTCCTTTTCCTTCCCCCACCCCCAGAGAACAGACGCTCACAACTACTGCCTGTAACTAACAAGACTTTAATCGCTTAAAGCGTGCTAGGCAAACAGCCAGCACCAGAACATTCGTTTCGATGTGTATTCCCCATCTGTGCCAGCTTACTGTCTTGTAATCCCTTCCTCTCCAATGACTGTAGATACAAACATTAATTTCCTTCTTGCTAATTATCCCAGTGCTGGGGTGAGTATTCCAAAGGGAGGGCAGTGGGGAAAAAGGGCTATAAGATTTGCCCTTTTACCTGGCTCCCTTGTGAGTCAAGTTCCCGAAACCTTCCCTTCCATTTGGGCTCACTTGGCTGTTTGGGGTCCTATCCTTCTGACACTGTAAAGCAAAGGAAAACTGAAGCAAAATCATAAGCACAATTGTGATCGCATGATTTTTACTTAGTGACTGCTTCACTTAAAGACCAAGTTACTGGTCCCCATTGTGGTCGCTAAACGAGGACTACTGCCATTGTATTTCGCATCTGCAGGTACCACAAGAAAAGCTGTGCTCCAGAACTTGAGATTTTGTTTCAAAAAAATTGCCCCACTTTTCTCCCTTCTAGGACATCATTCATGCGTTGCATTTCGTGGCTTTGGCTCAGGGGTTTTGTAGACTGTTATGGGCATGGACGTTCAGTGATCATCCTGCTAGGAATAATTGAATTGCCCGTAGCTGTGGATGGCCTGTCCCACTCTTGGTTTTCCTCCTTTCTTCTTTTCTTGTAGCTGCCACCTGTCTGAGGAAGGAGAATGGCTAGTGAAACAACTGGGCATCCCAGTAGAAAGAGCAGAAGACGGTTCCATACCCTTTCAAGACGTGCGTCGGATACAAAGAGAAGCAACAAAACGGTAGGGGTCCACAGAGGGCAAGATTTGCTGCTGTTTTTTTCCTGCAAAAAACTACACTAAAGCTAAAGCTTGGGCTGTTGGCACTAAAAGGAAGCCAGTATTCCACGTCAGGATCATGTAAACTCAACACTTAACGCCTGTTAGGAATGCACACATTTTGCTAAATTCTGCCATCACTATGAAGGTCAGAATTCTTCGCACGTTGTCCCCAATGTCTGGTCATTGTAATCAGGCACCTTTGTGACTTCTGAAATTCCCCAAACGTTGGTGACCCATTTGTAAGCTTGCCTTTTCAGCCATGAGGTCTGGAAACCAGAAAAGAACTTTTCAGTGTTGTCATTTTAAACAGAAAGAGAAAGCTAAAATCTGGGTCTTGTATGTTTGCAACGTCTGTTCATTTTCCTGGGCTGCGTGTCTCTCCTGCTGCAATGCGGGTCTTCCTTCTTGCAATTCAGTGATCACCACCCAGAATTGTTGGGTCGGATCTGCGGTTGACCTCCCAATTCAGCAGCTGTGTGCTTCGTATTCTAGCTCTCGTGGGAAGAAGTGGGATGTGGTACGCCAGCGAGTGTGGGCCAGTGGGACAGAGTCTGAAATGTTCAACAAGCTGGAAAGCATCGCCATGTCGGAAGCACCAAGCACGCCAGTGCTCGGCTGCCGCATCTCTAGAGCATTGGAGCCAGCAGCTGTCAAGGGTGAGGTGAGAGAGATCCTCCTGTTCTAACAAGTTGATTTTTCAATTTGGGGGGCAGAAGTAGGGGCCTAGCTGTAACTGGAGACGTTGTCCTAACCCTCTCCATTCTTAGAGAGGACTCCGAACTCCTGCCAAAGGAGCAGCGTGTTTTCTTTCAGTTGCCCAAAGAGGGCTCTCTGGCTGTTGCGCCTGGCGCCTGGCCTTGTTCCATGAACGGGCACGTGGCAACATTGTGACTGGATTCCGCAGTTGTAACGGAAGAAAGTGCTCTCCAAGCACTTCTACTTCTCTACACATTTAGAATTGCAAGGAACCCTAGGAACTCATATACGAGGGGGTGTGGGAAAAAATGAGTTGGTGATCCTATCTGAGACTACTTCTGAATCAGATCACCTCCAATTTAATCCAGCGACTGTATATACTTTTACACATGCACAGATAGCCCTGTATTGAATTGTGGGCTTTCCAGATCAGATCATCTGGATTCACCTATCCACGTCAGAAACTCAAACTGACAATGCCAGTTAGATTGACTTGAACTGATGATTAGAATTGGATCTGACTGATCCGTTTATTCCTATTTATATCCCATAAATGTTAACAGCTTCCAGAGCTCCAAGCACCACTTGACATGCTATCAACCTCACCCCCCTCCAAAGACCAAAGCGTGGCTAATAAATTGGATCAGTGAATCAGTTGAGACCAGAATCCAGGAATGATGTAACTCTTAGGTTTATCAGAAATCTGGAGTGCCAAAAAGTGCTCTTAAATAACAAGCACGAGGCTGATTGAAAAAGTATTATCTGTTAACTTCTTTCTAGTTTGTGACCAGCAGAATAAATTGGGTGGTCCAGAGTTCAGCTGTGGATTATCTGCACCTGATGCTTGTATCTATGAAATGGCTCTTTGAGGTATTTGGCATTGATGGACGTTTTTGCATCAGCATCCATGATGAAGTACGCTACCTGGTCAAGAGCGAGGACCGCTATAGGGCAGCACTTGCCCTACAGGTCACAAACCTCCTCACGCGGTAAGTGCCGGTCCTGTCATTTGGCAAGCTCATCTTTGGGATACTGTTCCCCAAATCCAGTGCCCTTCAGATGTTTGGGGTTGCAGCCCCTGGACATCTTATGCTAGGCAGGAATTTTGGAAGCTGTGTTCCTATCAACCCTGGAGAACGCCAGCCAGGTTGGAGAAGATGGTGCAACTGGAGGGATTTGAGGGTGGCCAGAAAATTTCTTATTCAGACAAACAGGAATTTATTGGCGGAAATGTTCAGTTTAAAGAAGTTCAAGTGGCAATAAAAAAAAAAAGAATTCTTGGAAATAAAGGCTCTGGGACCCCATAACTCAGTAGCTGTGTACTAAATGTTCAGTTTAAAGAAGTTCAAGTGGCAATAAAAAAAAAAAGAATTCTTGGAAATAAAGGCTCTGGGACCCCATAACTCAGTAGCTGTGTACTAAATGTTCAGTTTAAAGAAGTTCAAGTGGCAATAAAAAAAAAAAGAATTCTTGGAAATAAAGGCTCTGGGACCCCATAACTCAGTAGCTGTGTACTAAAAGTAAATATCACACTGACTAACAGACTATTTTGCCTTTTGATAGTCTAAACCCAATTATCTGGAAGATTAAGATCAGGGTAGTGTTGGAGTCCAATGAGAATCCATTATTCTCAAATCTTGGAAAAAAATTATGTTGTTTGAGAAAAAAATCTTTCTTTATAGTAATTGAAAGAATGCAGAAGATATGATTTAAAAAATTAGTCTCTCTTCATGTATTTTTTACCTATTACATATTTGTAGAATAATAATAGGACGATTTAAGATTGCATCATTGTCTTTACAAATCACTTAAAATTTGTGACATCTTGAGAACTGGAATGGAGAGGTGGGGGGATTTTCATCCGTCCTCATTTGTGGTACTTATATATGATCAGAACTAGTGAAAGAGTTTCAATGGCTGAGTTTTGGACATAATTTTCAATCATAGATTCAAGCACTAAACAGAACATTTCCACTTAATATATCAGGGTAAAAAAAAGAACAAAGCTCTTGATTATTGGTCTAGAACAGAGAATTATAAGGTAGTTTTCTATTTTATCTATCAAACAATTACCCATTGTTTTCAACTAGGTAGAACTTTTTCTGTGGGTGATTAAAATGTGTTTTTGGTTAATTGTTGATTTTTTTCCCTAAAAAAACACTTTCATTGAGGCACATGATGTAAATAGCGTGGGACTGTTATACTATGCATTTTAAGCAATTTATTGTAAAACTGATCAGAGAACCTACTCCAAAGGAAGGGATCCGCCTCTAAATGGAGCATTCACTTTTTTAGATGTATGTTTTCCTATAAACTCGGCCTTCAGGATCTGCCTCAGTCGGTGGCCTTTTTCAGTGCTGTGGATATTGATCATTGCTTAAGGAAAGAGGTGACAATGGATTGTGTCACCCCATCTAATCCAGGAGGACTGGAACAAAGATATAACATTCCCCAAGGTGTGTATCAGATTGTTACTGGTTTTCAGGGTAATACTTTGCAAGCATTTTATCTTCCAGTTGCTGGATAATCCTATATAACAAGAGATCGTAAGCCTTTCTCAATCTGGAAATCAACTTTGTGCAAGGCTTCCATCATCCAAGGACCATTTTGGCTGTTTGACTTTGCGCAGGAGTATCCTTAAGGAGAAACCAGAAGCTACGTGCATGGATTCTCATGTTCCCTGCAACGTGGGGAGAAGGTGTTAACTGTGGATAGTATCTTCCCTTATATTCTCTGACTTAACAGGGCAGTCCTGTGCATGGCTATGTAGAAGTAGGAGCCATTTAAACCCGGTGAGCTTGAATATCTGAGTAACAGGACATAGGATAAAATTATATTTGTTTCCACAGAAAGAAGATAAACTTACTTTTTAATAAGTGAGGCCTCCTATTCTGATGATGGAAGGAATGTACAAATATCAGGGCTACTGCTTCACTTGGCATGGCCCCTAGTTCCTGCTTTTAGAATTATTTTATTTTTTCTTCTATAGAGGTGTTAGCAATGATCAATTATTAGCATGTTGCTTGGTGGTTGTTTGGAAGGATTAATAGCCTTTATTTTTCCTCATTGAAATTAAGACTTCTTGATTTACAACTTGATCTGCTCTTGCATTGCCAGTTATATCAAACTCCTTTTCACCCTTCATCTAGAGCTAAGTAATTTTATCGTTTGCTGTCCAGAGAGTAGTTTAGAGTCAATTGTGTCATCAGTTTTAACTTAAGTTTCATGGAAAGTGGGTTACACTTTCATCATTCAGATGTTTTCATTTTGGCCCAGCATACTTGGTAAATCTTGAAATGGTTATAGAAAACATGGATTGGCATAAAGTGTGATGCAGTTGGGAGAACATCTAGATAACTCTTCCAAACTCGCCTCATTGGTGTTTCTTTTCTGTTTATGATAGTTGCATTATATCTTTGGTTACATTCCCAACTTGAGCACTTTTTTCTATTGTTTGTTACTTTTCCCAGCCACTGCCAATTCCTGCACACCTATGCTTTTTTTAATGGACCTACAAGGTTAAGTCTTGTCACACAAATAGCAACTATGCTCAGCACTGATATTGCTTTTTCAAGTTAACATGCATTTTAAAAAGCTTATAATTCTTTATTTTCAGAAATGCAGTTAACAATTTTTGTACCAAACGTGACAGCTTAAGAAACTAACCCAGCAACATTATGCATTTTATTGAATTAAGCTGTTACAGGAATCCTTTGCCAAAGTAAACTAAGAAAATTCAAATAGGTCCCAGCTCTGGCTAAATATATTCATAATATCTGCAGCCTCTGACCAAAATAAGAAGAGTTTGAAATATAGGTTTTAATTTACATGTTCTTTCCCCTCCTTGCCTTACATAAATCCCTGCTCGGGACAAGATTTATTTAGAAGCACAAAGACCAGCACATGAATCTTTAAAAGTTAAGTTTTAAATTTGAGCATTTTTTATATGCTCAGAAATGATTCTATGAAACTTTGTAACTTTGTTACTGTTAATTTCTTACAGGGGAAGCTCTGGATATATACAAACTTATCAACATAACCAAAGGTTCCTTGGAAAAAGGAAAATGAAGTTTGAGTTTAGAAGCTAACTGGACACACTTTGTCCCAGTGGAATCCTCCAGAAGGAGCCTCCTGAACGTTGACACCCGCTTTTTCTTTTCGCTCCAAGATAAAAGGAGGAGAACAAGCATCTCTGAGGACTGTGGTTCCTGAGGCCCATCTCTGACATTGTCCACATGGACTAGAGACCAAAAGGAAAACTTGCAAAGTTAATGTGCCTTACTGGGATAGGTCAGGAGAGATCAGCAGCAGGCTACTGATAATGTAAGCATTCAAGGTTTTATGTGCAATGGATGTGGTGAAGAAATACTTTTCTAATATACTGTAGATTAATTGAAAAAGATGGTCTCCTTGTGGATGTCGAAACTGTACAAAATCGCCATTTGAGAAGAAACAAGGCGGCTCTTATTTTTTTCTTCTCTTCTTTTTGGGTTCTCTGCTGGCGCTCGACTGTGTAGACGCCGTGCTCTAGAAGAAATAAAAACACAGGCCGTTGGAAAATCCAAAACAGTGGCCAGTGAACTACTGAAATAGTGCAAGCTGCATAATCTACTATAATAGATCTCCCAAATATTTTTGGGGGGGTTTGTCTTTGTCAAGATGTGTTTTAAGGAAAGAAACAGAAGAGAACTATGGTAAGGATGGACAGCCCAAAATGTTTCAGGATTTTATTTTTTAAATTAAAAGTGCTCATGGAAGCAGAAAACTTCCAGTCTTTATTCCTGCTCCCAAGCTGCAGCAGTGGTGGTGGTGGTGGAATTGACTACTCACTTTTGAACCGGACTAGGGTAAGATGGTTGTCATATTCCATCAGGTGGTTTGCTTTTAAAACAAGGGGCACAACGCTATAATTATTTAAACCGATGTTAGCATACATGAGATTGATGCTCATACAAACTTCACAAGGAGAATGCAGCGATATACATTGCTATTATCACCAAGATAAAGACCTTTCAGTGTATTCCTTTAGACTGTAAAGGAACCTCTTGGAGCTGACGGGCACATCTGGAATTTTGGGCCTTTAGTGGGAGCACATTCACAAAATAGCTTCCAAGGTGGGCATGGCCTTGTCCTCTCCCAGCAGTAGAACATTTGTGGAGTGCAAAAGCATTGTTGCAAAGAGGTAGGGGCACTGTTTAGCAGAATATCACTCGCCTATTCAATGTTTATTATTAATACAACTTTTTAAAAGAAAGTGTGCAGGCATCAAGGGAAGGGTCTTGAGGCACATGAGTGACCACAGACATCACATGGTAACCTTTCCTGTAAACTGACCTCATCGGGGCCTGGCTCATCCTCAGCATCCTGTTCCTGCAGGGCATTTTCTACAGTAGATACATTGATTCGGAAGTCCCGGGAGGCACTGAGTTTCATGTATTGCATTAGGTTGACCTGGAACACCCAGAGGTGGTTCATTTATTTTACAAAATGTTTATACCACCCATTCAGAGGATTGGAAAGAATTATCAGAGTTAAATTTACACTTCACTTATATGATGTACAGTTACTGTAATTGTATAGATCAAGTTTCATTTAACTCAAAATGTGCATCTGAGTAAGAACACATTGCTTGAATTTGTTTTTTAATAAGCTAATAAATAATAAATAAGCTAATATTTCATTGGAGGGCAAATACACAGGCCCTTCTCTATCACTCTTGAATTCTAATAGATATAAAATATATCAGATGCTATTTTAAAGTGGGAAATCAAGAACCAAAATTGCTTATGCAAATGAAAAATAATTAAAATTTTGAACTTGGAGGCAGGGCTAACGTATCATAAAGTGAATAGGTTTTGACATGCAGTATAAAAGATACACCACCTTATATTATCGTAACTGCCAATATCAAGAACGATGTTTTTAGAATTGAATCTTACCTTTGACTTTTTGGAGAGATGGATCAGAAAATTCTCATATTGCTCTATGGCAAAAACCAAGTTTGGAATTGGCTTAGTCTCCCGCAACACTTTAGCCTACGGATTCCAAGAAAATCAGCATATCAATAGGAAATAACACACAATCATTGTTTAGGATTTTCATAGGCCAATAGTGAAAGTACAAGAGTAGAACAAATTAAAGAACTACGGTATTTTGAGATCAAAACAGAGCAGATGTTATTTTGTACATCAAATACCTTAGCAAGTGTTTCAATTACAAAGTAATTTTTGAAGCAAAAAAAGTACACTACAGTTGACTACATTAGTTGCACATTTATACAACCAAAAAACATGGAAAGATTTCAGCTATTTCATCTTAAGAGCAAACCATGAAGGGCTTTTGCTCTTTTTTTGGAGCGGGAGGTAGCTTTCTCATTCCAGGATGAGCATGCATGTTTGATTCTAGCCCACTTCTAGCAGCAAAACCAGTCCGGCTATATGATTTCAGAATGCTGGCAGGTGTTTTAATGATAGAACGGGCTTCCAAATGGAAAGCCAGCATATCAGGGCTAAAATAAACTAATAATGCTTCTCCCTGACACACTAGTATTCTAACTAAAGGGAGGTTGTCTTTAAGAAACAAGTTGTGCTTCTGTCAACACATTCCAGTTACACAAGATGTCCTGAGAGCAAATCTGGGTGAAGATTGCAATATGAAATGGTACAGTCTAGCACTATTGTCACCGTGGAGTCCTTGGGGTTCTCTGAGCTTGGTTCTTTTCTTGCAAATGTTTCATTACCCGCAAGAAAAGAACCAAGCTCAGAGAACCCCAAGGACTCCACAGTTCAACCCTGAGCTACACATATTCGCCTCTGCTGGTACTATTGTCACCACTCAGCTGAATCAGATCTTCACACAGATTTGCCCTCAGGACATCTTGTGTAACAGAATTCACTCTGCTGACAGAAGCACAGTGGTGACAGTCTTCTGTCCAAGCATCAACCATGTTAAGTCTACCCCATTTTCTCTCTCTCATTTATTGCGTGGGAACATACTAATTGTTTCTGGGTGTGAATATCTTATTTTCCTAGATGCTGCTGTTCTAGAATGCAAAAATAAAATGCCGGGAACTGGCATAAGACTCCAGAGGTCTATACATCTAAGAAAATATTGAGGATCCACTTATAGCTCAGTCTGGATTCATGGAAATACTCAAATGTGAAAAACTAACTACACTTACCATAACAGCGGATACCTCTCCCCTTTTGTCTTTTTTCTTTTTTTCTCCTGCAGAGTTCAGGGTTTCACGTTGGATGGTCTGAAAAAAACAAATTGTATTAGGAAGATGCATTTTTACTAGGTCTGGCAGGAATAGAACTGGGTATGTGAGTCTAGAGGCTTGAGTTGGTCACTCATCACTTGAGTTGGGTGGGGATGGGAATAGTCAGTTTTGGGGATGGCTGGTTCCCTAGTCTTACCTTTGACCGATATGGTCACAGGTTGAAATAATACCACCATTGCTTGGATTTTATTATATTTAATAATTGTATTTTATACTGTATTATTTATGTTTTTATTGATTTTAAATTGTTTGGTTATGAACTGCCCAGAGTCCCTCCTTGTGGGGGAGTGATATAAATTTGATATATATATAAAATAAATAAAATTTGCTGGCAGCAGAATTTACTGCTGTGCTTTCCTATCCCTGTAAACTAGCTTTGAGCAGGCTCACATTGGAATTCCAATGGCCTTTGTGCCAGCTTTACAGAAATTCTTGATCCTCATTCATTGAATTCAAGACCTTTCTGCCTGCCTAGTTCATATTGTTCTATGGCTGCACCGAACACAGTAGAATGCTTGTCTGCCAGCAAGGCCTAGTAGAGTGTTGTCCA